GGTTGAGGCGGGAGGGGGAGGAGTCTAAGGCGGGGGTGGCGGGGGGGGTGGCTTTGTGACGTCAGTTCGCTCCTGCGCGTCGGCGCCAGCGTGCGTCCTCCAAAGCCATCGTGCGTAGGGCCGCCGACTCGCCGCCCGTCCACCAGTAGGCCGTTGTGTGTGCGGCGTCGGGGAATGAAATCTCAAAATCACACCGCAAATTTACTCAACTGGGACTCATCACCCCCCAAACTGGCAGACTGACGCCACGTTTCACTCGCGCACACGAGACTAATCTTGGGTCTCTTTGAGTTCTCGCCTGGTCAAGTGTTAAATAAACATTTAAACTTGCGCAATCCGTAACGGGCAATTTTCAAACGAGGAAAACAGTTGTACTGTGCTGTGACGCCGACGCACAAACGCCTCCTCTTTCTTTTTTTAATAACGCCACGGTGTCTTCAACATCGACGGTGGGAGCAGTTTATGGGCGCGTTTATATCACGGCGCGTGCACCAACCGCGGCCCTCAGCCGGGGCGGCCTTGGGGCTTGGCACGGCGCTCCTCTGCGATGAGCGGAAATCGTCGCTCACCGCCGGGCCACGTCACCGCCCCAGTTTGACGTCGCGCCTCCGACTGGGCAGGGATCGACGTCGCGACGAGGAGCACCGCCTTGGACCTGGTGGCTTTTGGTGGGGCGGTTTGTCCGGGGCAACGCGAGGCTCAATTCGGACGCCCTTCGTTTGTCGTGTAAATTATTAAAGGGGTGCCATGAAGATTGCTGTGCACGGTCACACGGCTTGAATGCGAGAGCATTGGCACGCGCGCGCGCGCGAGACTCCATCGCTCGCGACGTCCCTCGCATTTGCGACTTGAAAGAATGGCATTCTTATTAAATTGCATAGCTCACCACACCGCAAGGGGCGATGCGATGGATCTTGCCGCGGGACATCGTGTCCGTTGATCAGCTCGTTAGTGTCGCGGCAACGTTGCACGTCGTGAGTAACGCCTTTGTGCGCGCCCCTGTTTGTCCGTGTGTATCTGCAGAGCACAGACACTCCTGGGTTTGATTGAAAATATCAAGGTCTGGTGTAGACTCAGGGGTTTTATTGTTCAGCATTGCATTCATTTCTGCAAGTGAACCCATCATCTCATTACCGTTTCAATCCCGATAATTGCTTGCTGTGCGGTGCCTTAAACTCTTCCACCCCATTTCGCCGCTCATTACCGCCGAAATGGTCTTCATTCACGCCCGTTGCATGCATTCCACTGTGTTTGGAATGCGAGCGTTATTTTAGATGCAGCGTGCGCGCCCACATTTGGTGGAATAAAACAAGACGAGTGAGTGACAGGGGCCCAAACGTGCATCGGCGGGATGGAACGGCCTCTGCGATCCGTCACGCCGGACGCGAGCTCGGTGGATTAACGGGGAGAGAGAGATGGTGGTGGATGTGTTCTGGGAAGCGCACGCCTGCAGAGCAGTGATGTGAGATCGGTTGGATGCAGTACAACGAGTCGGGTTTGCTTGTTTTGTCTTCCGCCCGGCTGGCTATTTGAGGGCCATCGCCTTGCAGATCTCCCCACGTGCAAAAGAAAGACGCAGTACTAAAAAAAAAACACGGAGGTGGCCGCTCGCTTTGGTGGTCAGAGCACTCGACCGAATTCGTCGAGATCCTGGGGTCCAAATATGGATCGCAGCCACCCGTCAATAAACTGGGTTCTCAGATGTCACGGGTTCACGGTGTCAGCAAGGTCATCAATGGCTGCATAATAAACATCACATTTCCACTGCGTTTTGTTTGTGTGTGTGTGTGTGAGAGAGAGCTTATTTGGGATAAATTCCAGCTCTCGCACTTGAAGAGTAATTGCTTTGTCAAGAGACGAATTTTTTTCTTTGCTGGAAGTTAAGAAGTGTTGCCCCCTTCCCCCCGCGTGTGGATAATCGAGGTCTGTTGAGGCCAATGCAGAAGTGCTTGTACTGTCGCTGTATTACGTCGTCTTCCGGCGCATTATCGGAGACACGGTGATGCGCTATTTGCTGCAGAGTTCCAATGGTAAAGTCTTCGTTTCACAACGTGATGCAACAGCACAACTATAATTATGGCAACGGCAAAGATCTAAAACAATTAATTGGCCAATTATCCCAAAGTGGGGCACTCGTAATTACTCTACGTTTGGCAACTGCCACGTACCCATGATTGAACAAATCTCATTCTCTGTTGTATTTTCACGTAAAAGAATACTTGTCAAGTCAACCGGGACCGTATTGCGTCTGTGTTTGTGTACGCATGTGCTGGGGGCTCGTGTTCATCACCAGTCACATCTGGTAAAGCCAGCGGTCTTTGTGAAGAAAGCCTGACTCTGCTGATGAGTCCCTGGAGGACAAAACCATTCCAGAGTTTGCGTGCTGACAGAATTACTCTGGAAGACATTACTACAGAAGACCAATTACTATGGAATCCATGCGACCGGTTGCCTACTTTTTTACGTTATTTTAAGACGTGGAACTGACTATTTATTCAATGCCTTACTCATCATGTTCCACTATGCTGCTTGGTGAGATTATATATATATTTTAAAAAGTTAATTATATGTGATGTGGAAATTGTATCTGCTGTTATTATATTGCTCACAGAATAAAGTATCTCGATTGCCGCTCGACGAGGAATTTTAGGCGATGCTGCGAAGCCGCTCCCCCCCCCGACCGTCTGCCGCCGCTATGGCCAGAGAGCGCTTTCCTACCGAAAGAACTCCTCGCTCGGAACCCAGGACGCATCGATCTGCGAGCCGAAGGAGCGGCCTCGCTGGGCGTTAGGCGGGGGTGTCAAAATACCGCCAATCGGAGGCGTCGGAGCACCCAGCGACAACTCTTGCCTCCGATGCGTCACCTCGCAGCGCCGAGGCGCTCGGGGTCGGAGCTCGCCCTCAAAATCAGCGTCCGTTAAAAACCCCAGCGGGCACGGTAGATACGTACACGGGTTTTTTTTTAAAGTTACTACTCTTGGTATAGATTTGGTAGATGGTTATGAAGGCGTCCCCACACTGCGTGGGTCATGGGGTGTTGTTTGACCATACTTCGCCACACGGGTCAGTCTGGGTTGGTGACGCGGGTTCACATATCATTAAATGGGACCTTTCTTGCCAGTATCAAAATATAAGAATAGGTTTTACCCTTTCTGGCAAGAGGACAGTTGTCTTAAGATGTGAAAACACCAAACAGAAACCTTAGGAATCCTGTCTGCATTCACCACACACAGGACTTGAACGTGAAAAAAACAAAAAATGCTCTCGTAGTATATGATGATGCATTGTCTTTGAAACTGATTGGTCCACACCAGAGACAGCTTTCTTTAGAGCCTAGTCTCAAGCAGTGTTAGACCAGAGGACAACGCCAAAAGGCGTTTGGTATTTTAACATCTTAACGCAACTGTTTTGTTGCCAGAAAGGGTACAACCTACAGTATTCTTATATTCAGATATTATTGCCCGCTGCCGATGTCAGCCCTGGCCCAGGGATTGAACCCAGGTTGCCGAATTCATGGCACGATGCACATGCCACTATGCCACCACTCCCCCTCTTGTCAGTGTATCTCATATTGTTCCTCTGCACGAGCGGCTTTCATTCTTGATTCCTCACAACGAAACGCAAACGCGAAACCGACTAAATGTTGTCTCTTGTTTTAACTCTGTCAAAAAAAAGGGATCCTTTTTTAAGATCTAGCCCCAGGATATTGCATCAGTAAGACGTAAAGACGTACGTACACTGCTGCACATTTTCATTAAAACCTTCCGCCCCGTCTGCTCGAGACGGAAAGGCGTTGAAAGCACATAACTCAGGGAGGCTCAGGGCAATATGCTACATGACACGGTTGCCTCCACGATCTCTCCATCTCCCTCTCTCACCGCCTCTCTCTTATGCATCTCGTTCATGAGATAATTGTGTACAAAGGCAAGTGGCTCTCTTCCGTGGCAGTCCCCGGCAAATTGAGGTCCAATTCAACGGTGCAATCCGTTCAGGACTCTGTTTAAAAGCAATGTGAAAGCGTGCGCCCTTAGCCTCCCCTGTCTCCGTGGGGCGTTTGTTGATGAAAAAAAATCGTGACCAGATTTCGTGTTGCTGCTACTGAAGGCGTCGTTGGGGTTTAGCCGTGGAGGAGGAGGAGATGAAAGGGATTCATTATCTCGTTTATGTAAATAAGATTGTTTCCGTTTGTTCCATCTGAATTGGAGGCGATGTGTGTGGTGGTGCATTTGTGTTGTTTCCACGACTCCGGGGGGCCTCTGGTGCCTTCGCTTGCTCATGCGCAGCGCCCCACCGACGTCGTTTGGCCAATTTCCTTCTCGGAGCGCTGTTCAGTTTTGAACGATAACCCCGCACCCGTACGAGGCCAACGCCCTCAATGGCTCCTGCAGGTCGAGTCGGCCGCCAAGTCGCTTCCCCTCCCAACGTCCGCGGCAGGGTTCAGCGGCAGGGTTCAGGACCGCCCCACGCGGCCTCCCCCCGCGTGACGAGCTGGGGCGCGCTCGCGTTCCCGGACGCTAATCTTCCACAATTGTATGGCGCGAGCTGACCGATTGCGCCAGTCTAGCGCCGGTGACGTCTGAGAGAGGCTTCACCGTACGGGCTGCGGCCGTCTGGAACGCTCTGCCTTCTGACATTAGGAAGCGCCTGGAGCTATGTACTTTTAAATCTCCATTGAAAGCTAATTTCTTTCGGATTGTTTTTTTGTGTTTAGTTTTGTTGTCCTTTCCCCGCACCTCCGATTAGCATGATACAGTGCGAAAGGAGTTCAACATACTTAGCACGGTTGCCTACGTGTCGTTCAACACGCATACATGCGTGGGCTTCTGGGGCCCGGGCCCCCATTAGCCTCTAATTCAGACTCGGGACTTTATTTCAGCTGGCAAGGCCCGTGATTGCTTGACATCCGTTTGTATGACCGACCATCTCTAAAGCACCTCTGTCCCCTCTCCCCGCTTCATCCCCGTGGTCCCCCCCCCCCCCACCCCTTTCTCCCCGGGTAGGCGAGCACCTCAAGGTGTGCCCGGCGCGCTACACCTGCTGCTCGAGCGAGATGGAGGAGAAGCTGTCGCGCGCCGGCCGCTCGGAGACGGAGGCCCGCGTGGAGGAGGCTGGCCGCCTCCTCTCCGCCAACTTCAGTGCTCGCCACCACAAGTTTGACGGTGAGCTGCCAGGAAGCGGCCGTGTGGCAGGGGCGCGATGTTCACATCTCGGAGGGCAATTTGGGATTCTTCTTCTTCGAATATTTGGGGCGATTAACGTTCCGCAGTGGGTGAACGTGTTCCAGCGCTAAGCTGAAGTGACCCAATGCCACGTGATGCCGGCCTTTGGCGGACAGTGCGGGCGCGGCGCCGCTTCCTGTCACTCGTACTGGCAAACCGGTCGACCCCATATCAGTGCCCTTCCTTTTTACAGACCAATTCAGACCTTATTGGTCAACCCCGTGCCTTTATAAATCTCAACGTTCATCCTACAAAGTCCCATCACAAGGGAGAAACACAAATAAACAACAAATGTGTTGTTGCCCGTATTGAAATGGCTGTACACCATATGGACCTAAACTCAGTTTCCCTGTACAAGAATCCGGGTCAACTGTATGGGGTTGACAGCTGTGTAAAGGCAACGCCGTCATATTTTTTGGATTGATTTAAATATCGATTTAAAGCCTTCGTGACTGCAGGGATTCATATTCTTGGTTCTTTCGGTAAAGTCACGTAGCAGGGAAATAATACAATAAAATAAATAAAACTTAATAAAATTTTATTATGTTTTAAAATAAAACATTCTTTTATTTTATTTTTATTAGTTTATTATTTCCCTTTTACATGACTTTACCGAAAGAACCAAGAATTTGATTTAAATAGTTTTGCCGCTATTTGTCTATTCTTGTCTCTCTCCTCCCCAGAAATTCCATCATTTCACGCATTTTTTTAACTGTGTATATGCACTCCATCTTATTTACTTCACCTCCTTCAAATTTTCATGAATTTATTGTTAATTTTAGTCCAGATTTGTTACGTATATTAAAAAAAGAAAAGCTCACATGTATAAGTTTTATCAATTCAGAATGTCATGATGTAACCCAGGGTCGCCCTTGCAGCAGCGGCGACGTTGTTTCAGGCCTCGCAACGGGTCCCCGTTTCTCCTCGTGGTTAAATGAAGGACCTTTCCTCACTCTGTTTTTTTCTTGTACCTCGGAGGAGCGTGTGGCCAAGCAGTGGGCCCCGTCGAGTCGTTGGTCGAATTAAATGAAGTCGCGAGCCAAACATGTCCCGGCGGGGAAGGGGCATGTCACGGCTTCCCTCACCCCCGGCTGAAGCCGAGGGGACATGGATTGTTTGTTATGTCTTTGCGCGCCTAATTTGTTTTTTTATTTCTCAGTTTACAAAAGTCCACAACAGCGGCAGCTGCTGCAGTGCCAGCGGGGACCAACAGGGGTTAGAGGTCACGACAGCCTCCCAGATTTCAGCTGGGGCGGGTTCAGATTTCCCTTTTGCTCATTTTCGTGCCCTTTGTTGACGTCCCCTGCTTGATTTATACAGATTAGCTGCTGCTGATGATGATGATGAATACGACGACGACGATGATGATGACGTCCTTGAGTTATCGGCTTAAACGTTCACCGGACCAAATTGTGGATGCAGAGCAGATGAATGGAGGGCATATTGCGTCAGAGCTTAGCAGCTAAGCGTGGTTAGTAAATGTGATGGCACACTGCCTGGGAATACGGCTTGGGCTGCAAGGTGGCTGGGAGATGGCAGGACGTTGACATCTGCGTGTGGCTTTGAGTGTCGCCACCTCCCCGCGTGTGACGTATGTTTCCTCCCGACAACAATACCAAACATCCCAACGCGGGCATCTCCTGTAAACGACTCCCTCAGACTCTTCCTAAGGAGAGGACGTTATCACCTCAGACCCTCAATCTGCTGAGATCTCACCGTTTTACAATTATGCCTGAAACTGTAATGAAAAATCAGCATTATCGACACGCAAATTCGGTTTTAATTGTTTGTAAAATCCCTGAATAATTTACATATTATTAAATGTCTTTCCTTAATTGTGTTGTGGAAATGTATTGTGAGCATTGATGATGCTCGATGTAATTACCAGTTAAACGTCACAGTACTGAAATGGTAAATGTTGTGGGTTTGCTCTCCAACACACCGTTGGACTGAACTAGTCACTAATTGGCGCGTTGTTTACGTGACGAACCTTGCCGGCTGTGTCGGGTGGTGGAGGGTTTCAACATATTTATTCTTACGCGATCAACCCAAAAACCTTTTGTTATGAGCATTGTTTTGTTTACACATCCATATCGACTTTACACGCAAAGTCTTCTCAGACAATGTTACGATTCAGAATCGCTGATTTTACAATTCTGTTACGTTGCACTGTGATCCGGCCAAATCAACATTCAACTTCCCTGAGATCTGAAACAATACCGATTGGCAACATTTGCACCACGTGACAATTTCATTTGTTTGGCAGTGTCAAGCGGCGAAGGGTTCTTAATGACACCGATTAGGCCACATCATTACCTACCTCCTATCTCCCCCCCCTCCCCCCCCGATAAAAAAAAGATTCCCTCAAAACAACCTTAGATTCATTACACATTTTCTTATTTTTGTCCTGCTCTCATTTATTCCCACATCTCAATTCAACAAGAGAGCTCCTGGTCTCAGTAGGTTCTTACCCGGTTGTTAAAGGTCATCTGTCCATCACCAAATCACGTTGCGTCTCACAGGGCTGGCCAGACTCACGCCGCAACGGGCGCGCCACGAACCGCCGCGCGCCGCCTCGACAAATTGCCGCTTTGGCCGTTGCTGCCTGGGACATCCCCGCACGTTTCATCCACAAAGTGGAAACCTCTGCCCCACCTGTGGCTCAGTATCCAGGGCGTCTGCGTGTTCCTACGAGCAAAATGGGGGGGGGGGGGGGGCAGCCCTCATCTTAATTGGCAGCCCTCAGCTCGTCGCGGAAATTCCACATTCACGTGACAGGGCGAGGATGGGGGCCTGGGCGGGAGGGCAACCTCCGTATCAGACGAACGGCCGTCGAGTTCCTTACAAGCGGCGCACATTTAGTGAACCCCGGAAGACTCGTGGCGATGGCGATGGTAGGCCGGGTGACCCCCGCCCCCTCCGTCCGGGGTTTGAACTCGTAACTTTGCGAGTCAATCGCGATAGCCGCAGGCCTGTCAAGTCTGATGCGTTTGCGTTCGCACAAAAAGTCAAAGTCAAGGTTGATCTCCCGCTGCTCGAACGGACGTTGGGGCATTGGTGCTGATCTCTCCCGTTGACAGCCCTGAGAAGAGTGGCGGAGGCGATTGGTGGGGTAGCGCAGCGAGTCGGTGTCCAGGGCAATTTGCATTGCGGAGTAGGGGTGGCCACGCCGCTCCCCACACGTGGACACGCACACACAGCCATTGTTGTCCATCAACTGCTGGGTTAAGGCCTCCCCCACGCTGTGCAGGTTGTCGGGGTTGCTTGCCCATACTTCACCGCACTGGCCGGTGCGGGTGGGTGAAGGCGGGGGGGGGCGTAGACGATGCCGGTCCACTGCCCGCAACGTAGCTAGCCCACAGAGCCTATAACGCCTGTTATGCCTTGGCGGTCACCCGTCCCAGCACTATCCAGTCTCGAACCGGCTTAGCTTCCGAGATCTGAAGAGACCGGCTGCATTTCCGGCGATAGGTTCGGTCATAGGGTTGCACACATACACACGCATTCACACGCACACACACATGCACAACAACAACAACGGCCATTCGCCACTAAGTGGCGGTGACATCACCACGACGCTTGTGCCAGGACATGTGCACCTTGAGGCCACGTGGAGTGTCGAACGCCCGCTGGCAGGAGGTCACGGGGCAGACCCAGGTGCCACGGGTCGACTGACTGAGATGACTGGCTGATGCACCACCTGTGCCCCCTACTGTGCCAACCTGCTGTGCTTTAGCCACCCGGCACTCCGCTCGTTGTTGTGAGCGTCGCTCCTCCGCCCCCCGTTGTTGTTGGAGGGCGACTACCTCCAACTGCCCAGTAGCGTCCTTCACGAGCCTCCTCCACAGAGGCCGATCTTGACACCGCTGGTACCAGTCATCGGCAAGTCCACTCAGCTCCACGTCCTCCTGTACCACATCACTCCATCTCTTCTCTAGCCCGTGCCACGCCCGTTTAGCCCCCTCGATCCAGCCGAACAAAAGCTGTTTCGGCATGCGGTGGCTGGGCATGCGGGCTACATGACCCAGTCAACGTAGCCTTGCCTGCCGGAGGAGCTCACCGATGGGACCTTGCCCAGATCTTTCAAGGATTTGTGAGCTCCTCACACAATCCAGCCTGGTTAAACCCAGGATGGATCGTAGGCAGGCTAGCCTAAATGTTTCTAACCGGCGAAGATGTTCCATTAGGGGGGTCCACGTTTCGCAATTGTAGAGAAGGGAGGGAATGACCATGGCCGAGAAGACCTGAAGCTTAGTGCGGAGCGACAAACCAGGTAGCTTCCACACAGCGTTACGCAACCGAGGAAAAGATATTGCCGCTCGAATGATTTGGAGTGAGGCCTCTGCTGTTAAACTGGAGCCGGTCATAAGCACACTGCCCAGGTATGGGAAACTCTCCACTCTCTCCACAACTGCCCCATCACCGATTGGGAGTTGTGGGGGTGGAGTGTCCGATGGTACAAAATACCCAGGCAGGTGCTTAATTTTGGTGGGGCTGATGGTAAGGCCCCATCTCTTAGTGGCATGCTCCAGTCTCAGCAGCAGCGTCTCCATCTCCTCCTCTGAATGAGCAGCTATTACCAAATCATCGGCATACATAACGTGGTTGAGCAATAGGGAGCCATCCCTTGACCGCACCCAGGCATCGATCAGCCTCCCATTATATCTGTACCAAATGGAGATTCCCCCTGTACAGCTATTGAAGGCTTCAGGAACTACGTGGTCAAAATAGATGTTAAATAATGTGGGAGCCAGAGGACATCCCTGTCGCACCCCAAGGTGTACAGGGAATGGCTCTGACTTCTGGCCACGTAGTTTTACCCGGGCCCGCTCACCATCATGAAAGTCCTTAATGATCGTGAGCAGAGGGTCAGGGACTCCAAAAGCACGAAGAACCCAGAGCCCAGGCTACTGATGGTATCATAGGCCTTGACCAGGTCA